TCTCTCTTTCTGCCTCTGTCTCTTTATCTGTCCCTCCCTCCTTTCCTCTGCCCCTCTTTCACCCCTCCCTCAGTAAAGTATGAAGGTGTAGAATGGTGACCCATAGGCTGGGGAGACTCGTGCACCCCCCTTCACAGTGTGCACAGGAATGTGTGCTCACTTTTACTCTAATATGCAGTTTTTATGAAACCTCAGTGAGCTCTGTCTATAACTGAGATGTTGGACTTCTCAAATGCTGCCTGGCAGCTAGAAGACAAAGAAAATGCTCTGTGGGCTGCCCTACACGATGAGCAAAGCCGGGCTGTGAGCTGGAGAATGGACTCCGGTTTGCAATCTCGGGTCTACATGGGCCATCCTGTGCTTCAGTCCCTAGGAAGATTCCAGAAGTGAAATAGTACAGCGATGTAAACAAACAAGCATTTCGTTCGTGAGTCCCTTTTGTGCAGAGCAGCAGAAACCAGCATCTTTGTTTCTCCCTGAAGCAGGACAGGGCTGACAAGCAAAGCGAAATTTCATGGTGGTCAAGCCTGTGTGTCCCGACCACTTTAAGAGTAACCACTAAAGAGATTTCTAAGGCAGTTCCTGGCTCTTTGGCAGTCCAGTGGCCTTTCTGAAAGAATGAGGGACAGAGGGACTCTGTCTGGCACAAGAGAGTCAATCACCCCGAACCTGTTTCTTCTTTGGAGAGAGGGGAACAGCACACAGCTATGCTGGGGATGGCCACTGTAATGATTGTATGATAGGGATGCACAAACAGTCCAGACCAGACAGGAAGACGTGTGGATGGTATCTGAGTTCATGGCCACGTTATCGGAGCCGTGACTGTGCTTTCTAAATAAAATCTCAGTTAAAGACCAAGGAGATGGCTCAGCTGGTGAAAGTGCTTGCTACAAAGCCAGATGACCCGAACTCAATACCCAGAACCCACAGGGTAGAAAGAGATACTTAATCCACAAGTTGTCCTTTGATCTACACACACACACACACACACACACACACAGAGAGAGAGAGAGAGAGAGAGACAGAGAGAGAGAGACAGAGAGAGAGAGAGACAGAGACAGAGAGAATCAGGTGAAGATGATGGTGATGATAAAAGGTTTATTGAAGGAGAGCCTCAGATAGAGACGAACCTGAGAATAAGTTAACAAGATGCACTTGGCGCCCCTTGGATCCGCACTGGTCTTCTTTCTGCTTCAAAGCCCCATTACCTTCTCCCCTGCAAATTGTGCCTCCAGCTAGGATGTGGGCACGCTAATACCACATGCACCAAGAGATGTACTTAGGTCCCTAAGTACTTAGATGGCACTCAGGGACCCAGGCCTGTCCTCTAAAGGCTTCAAACTTCACTGTGCCATTCCCCAGCTGCGGGGCTTAGTTCTGCATGTGTAATGGGAGCAGTTATGGCAGCTATGACTTGGGGTCCTTTTGGCCGTGAACCAATCTGTAGCAAACTTAGGGGCTGGCACTGAGGGCCGACTCCACCATATGCGATCAGTTCATTATTATTATGTTATTATGGATACAGGATCTGGCTGCATAGGCCAGACCAGCCTGGATAACTCACTATGGAGCCCAGACTGGACTGGAATTCACAATTCTCCTGCCTCAACTTTCTGAGTGCTCAGAGACAAACTGGTTATTATTTTTAGCTATGTAGGTGGGAAAGGCCCCTCAGTCCATCAGGCTATGTGGCTTTGTCTCCCCACGAACCCCCAAACTCTCCCAAGCATCCAACGTGACTATTTTGTCCTGGGTGTAATGTGCCAGGTCACGGAACATGAAAAGACCCCCCCTCCCCCAGCCATCTGTTTGGCACACATCTGGGTAAGGAAATGCGTGAAAGGCACGAGTCCTTTCTTTGGAGTAGACCAAGCTCATTGCCTGAGGCTAGCCCTCATATGTTCTCTTTTATCCGTTGTTGACTTACAGTTTCATTGATAACCCTAAAAGGTCCCTGGCTGTTAAAAAAAAAAAAAAAGATTTGTGGGAAGGTTGGGGAGCTAGGACTATTATCCTGGTGAACGTCAAACCGTCCTGTCGCACCTTCTTGCCCGCAGACTCTCGGATCAATTGTCTCCTGCTGGTGCTTTCCCTGGGCCTCTGATAACCGCCACCGCCTTTCTATACAGCTCGGGGCAGCCGCTCTCAGCTCCAGGTACCACCAAACAATCACCAGTCAGATCATCTGGCTAGATAGCCATCTCTGTCTGCAGCCACCACATCTGTCCACCTCATAATCTGGCAAGAAAATCTTTTCTAAAACAAGCCACTTGGAAACTGCCCCTGGGACGAAGGAAAGGCTCTGAGCTGAGTAACTGAGAGGGAGCTGAAGATGTTATCTTAGCAAAGTGCTAATGAGCAAGGCTGCAATTAATTCCAGTCTCTCAGGAAACACCTGCAAAGGGAAATACAACTCAAAAGTGCTTAATGAGATGCAAGAAGTTTACACTTGCTCGCACCCTCTCCCTTCCGTGTCTCTTCTTCCCAGGGACTATGCTCTGCTGTTCATAGGTAAGGCACACACATCTGGACATTATCCACGGGAAGAACTCACACTAGGGTGGCAGTTTGGTTCACCAGTAGAGAACTTGCCTGGAGCACACTAAAGATCTTGGTTTTGATCTTCAACACCACAAAGAAAAAGAAAAAGAAAAAGAGCTAAGGCTTATTGGGAGCCACATATGTGACCTTCTGGTGCCATGACCTTTACCTAATGAGCAGTGGGTTGTTGGCGATTACTTGGAGGCTCAAGGAGGTTATTCGGCTACATTTTCTAGTTACTGTGACAAGTCAAGACTATTGCTGGATCCAAGGCTCAACACTCAGGCCTTAGTCTATAGCCAGCATGGAGACTCCAGGAATTCGATTCCTCCTTTTCCTCAAAGATCCTGTTGGAAGTTGCACCACTGGGGTGCACAGACTTGGGGTGCACACACTTGGGGGGTGGCACAGACCAGCCAGCATCTCCCTTACTTATCTCAACCCAAAGGTCTCCATTGCCCTAGTCAAAGCTCTACACTTTTCCCTTTCTCACCCATCACAAACTCCCTCGGGCCCTGGCTCGTCTTCCTCATCCTGTCTACTATGGTCATGGGAAAAAAGACAAGAAGAATACTAGTCACAGGGCTTCAAGTTGGATGCAGTTAAGTAGACCCTTTGCTGGGCTCACCTGAGCCACCAGGGAACCTTCTGGGGCCGAATCCCAGGGGTTCTTTTCTTAGTGTCCTGGGAGGGCTGGAGAGTCTGATGGGTGTGTTAGGGCTGGTGCCCCCCACCTGCTTTCGTAGGGACAAAGGGGTCCTTGAGGTGCGTACCAGATTTCATCCACAACGTAGGACATTTGTGTACACTAGCTATCTCTGCTGGAATGACTTCATGGAGGCTCCGCTGCAGGAGACTCATGTCACCCGTGTGTCATTACAAAACTGCGCACATGTCTCCGAGATGGTCTGTAGAAGCGCTTGTAGTCAGAGCACTCAACTTGGCAACACCAGCCTTTCCCAATTTAAGGTTTCTTGCTTCGAACCCAGATGGCTTGATTTTGCTAAAACCCTCATAGCCTGTCAACCATAGAAATTTGAAATGACCACTCACCCCAGTGGCTGACTTCCCCAGCAGGACGATTAGCAGCAGAACACGGAGCTCTGGCATCCTGACCGACAGCTGTGCCGTTGAAGGCCCCTCGATTTGCCTTCCCTACAATTTCTTTTCTTGTTTATGCCTTTCGGTGTGGGGGTGGCAATGCTGGTCTCTGAGGATTCCGGAACAAATGAAGAGGATGCAAATTATTAACTAGGCATCAAATACTGTTTAATGTTTTGCAAACCAACTATCTTGATTAAACAAATGGTAACTTGGGGGGTTGGGCAGAGTCAAGGGGTGCCTTGTCTTCTGTTTAAAAAAAAAAAGAGTTTCCAAAGATAGCGGTCAGAATAAAGAGCCCAAGGCTTGTGGGTGCATGTAGGGGTTGTTGAGTTTCAGTTCTGTGGCTGGCGTCAGCCACAGGACAGAGGGCTCCAGATCAGGCAAGAACCTGTGCCACCTCTGAGAATACTGGTAGAGTTCTGATCTTTAAATCTCAACCAGAGCTAAGGCGTGGATGGGCCCCTAATAACATCACACTGTAAATTCATGAAAGATAATTAAAGCATGCCGAACTGCTGTTGACAAACACTGATTCTGGGCTGTTTGAACTGCTGCCCGTAGTTGCTTGTTGGCTTCAAAAGTTTTCCTTTTTTTTTTCTTCCCAAAACCTCATTACATAAGGTTTTTACTTTTTAATTATTTCCCCCTTTAGTTGGAGACGTCTTTGATCAGCGGGAGGAAAAGCAACCATGGTGCTCATTTTGGGGACAGCTGTTTCCAGCATTGTCTAGTTAGCAGCGCAGGTTGCAGGTAGGGCTACGGAAAGCAGCAGTTACCGGACGAGGGTGGGTGCTTGTGGACTCAATTGATCTCATCAATAGACGTGATTCCCCAGCTCCTGTCTGTCCACAGTAATCTATGCGTAGGCTCCAGGAATCCTCCAGCCCGATTCTGCAATGCGGACTTGAAATTGAGCCAAGTGATCCACGGGTTGGTGCTCCACCTCTCTCCTCTGCCATCCCACAGGGCGCATGCACTCAGTGCTCAGCCAGGGGCTGCTCCAGTGGCCGCACCTACCTCCGAAAGTCAATTGCTCACCATGGTGAACTCGAACTCCACAGACCCAGTCCAGGAGAAGCCTGACGGTGAAGCCCACTCAGCAGATGGGTTTTGTTCAGTCAACTAACTTTTCACAAGACCATTTTGAGGTACCCGGCTTACTATCTCAGCAATATATGCTCCCTCTCTGCCCCCTTAGATCGATATTCATGAGGCTGGGCATTCTGGTAGATTACCGGTGAGCTCCCAACGTAGGTGGACACCCAGCAGATTTATGTGGGGGGAAACGGAGAAGTGAACAATCACTTTATTGAAGCAGTACTTGGGTGTTTCATATCAAGATGTCTTAGTAGAGGCAGCTCCCTGTGAAATCCAAACGGTGTAAAAAATCAGCGGCATTTATGACCTGTTCGGTACAGCACTGCCTGCTCACGAACACATTAATAGTCCTTAAATACAGTCATCTATTGTGAACTGGGCACTGGTGATTCAGGAACAAAGAAGAGGCCGTCAGCTTCAGTCTTTGTGTGTACATGAGCATGCGTGAGTGTGTGTGTGTGTGTGTGTGTGTGTGTGTAAGTCAGAAGCAAACATCTGATGTTCTCTAAAATTCTTCATCTTCTTTTCTGAGAGAGTCTCTCATTGAGCCCCAGACCCACCATTTCAGGCAGACTGGCAGGTCAGCAAGTGTGTGAGATCCTTCTGTCTCCATCTCTCCATGCTGAGCTTACAGGTGCATGACCCATGCCTGACTTTGCATGTGGGTGCTGAGGATCCAATTTCAGGCACCCCCACAAAGTCCTGGCCAGGACAGGTCCTTTCTGGTATGCCTGGGGCTCTTGCTAACAGAAGCCCCATGTTGTGGCTGAGTGGATATGACTCACGCTTGCTCACTGTCTTCAAAGCCAGGTCTTCTTCCTCCTAAGCCTTTGGTGGGGAGACAGCAGCCTGGACTCACAATAGACCTAGGATCCAGACCCGCGGCCAGGCTGACCACATAACGCTGAGCCAATCGTCTACTTTCTCAGAGTTTCACTTTTCCCACGTGTAAAATGGAAACCCAGTTCCCTCTTCATGGTGTTACTGGGAAGTGTGCAGGAGAAGGGAGGGCCAAGGGGAGTGTTCTTAGTGGAGGAACTGGCAGAGTAGAACGCTACAGAACATGCTGGCTGTGACATCAAGACTTTCCGGGGGGCAGCCACCTTTCTGGGGAAGGCCCCCATTCTTAACTGGCCTCTCTAGGAGGAAGGTAAACTATGTTCCAGGGCAACTGTGCCAACAATCAACCGGGTGACAGCCTTCACAGCACTGCCATAGGAGAGCAAGATACACAGACAACTCGCAGTGCCCTGGACAAGACGGGAAGGACCCTGGACTGGTGTAACATGGCGTTCCCAGACGGCATGTACCTTTATTTCTCAGGATCAAGGCAGATATCTCTGTAGGGTGAAAGACCAAATCTTGCTTAGTCACTGGTCCTGCAAGCTTTTGCTAAGCACCTTCTCTAGGGTTGGGCAGTGATCTAGGGAATAAGGAAGACAAACCCAGTTCTAGGCTCTGAGTGGCCATCTTACAAAGACTTCACTTGGTGGCTGGTCTGCAGGTAAGTGCCATCCCCAGCAAGAACTCAGGTGTGGGGCACAGCTCTTTCTCATTGTTCTCACAGCTTCCTTGTTCCCTCCATTGACCTCTAGGGGCACTCCCCTGGAAAGGGCAGGGATGCTAGCTTTTCTCCACTCAAGGATCCTAGCCAGCTGGTATTTCAGAGTTGCTGTACTCTGTTCTCTGGCCTGAAAGATGCTGGGGTGTACCCAGAGCATGAGAAGACATCAGTATTTATTGGTGAGCTTTGTTTCCCAGGGACATTTATAAGCACATGGATGTCTTTCTAACTCCCATGCAAGGTGCTTTGGCCCATTTTTCAGGTAAGCAATGTCCAGAGAGGCTAAGCAATTTGGTTAAGGTATCATAAGTGGAGGCCAGGCCAGGCAGGATTCCTGCCTTCTGGTTTCCCAGCAAATGTTTTTCCTTTGCCACAGTAGACTCCTGGGTGTTGGGGTGTTTTCCCCATAAGAGTTTATTGGCAAAGGTTGCCTGTTTCCTACTCAGCACCCACCTTTTCCTCTTACTATTACTTGTTGGGGTGTCCAGTCCCCAGAGTTTATTGAAAAAAAAAAAAAAGACATCTTTCTGGCTATCGCATGGCTGTAGTCTTAGATAGGTCTGGAAGACAAGGATGCTGAAATTTGGGTGCAAGAAGTTTGTTAGGGTGATGCTTTCAGGATTCACTGGGGAGGAGCTGACTTGCAATGCAGTCACAACCGAGGCATAACCTCCAGAAAGTTCTGGAGCTATATACCCCTCAGACCTGTCCTCCTGTGAACTCAGGGGTCAGAGCTCTGCACTTGGATGCTCCTCCACCAATTATGAGCTAACACATAAAAGGATTGTGACCATAGGTCACTCTGTAGTGGTACTCCTCAATGAGGAACTCAGCTAAGTCCTGGATGCCAAGCCCCTGGTGACTGAAGGACCAGGTGTCTCACTATTGAGTAGGAATCTGGTGACATCTCTCCAACTAACAGCTGTACATACATCCATTCTGTATCCCTTAGGACAGGTGCCTGGGTATGGAAGTGTGAATGGCTTTGTGGGGTTTAAATGAACTCTAGTCTCTGGATGGCCTAATCAGAGATGGTCGAAGGCACAGGCAGAGTCATGGGCAGACGGCAGATGGTCAGTGGGTTAATCAATACCTGAGAAAGCTCGAGTGCTGCTGTGGGGATGCTTGCCCAGTAGTGTTCTAACTGTGGCTGAGCTTCTGATGGCAAAGGAGACATCTGATCATGATTTATTTACATGTCATGATTTACACCATGCGAAAGTCAATGTCACTGGAGAAGAGTGGCTCCCATTCCCATGAACAATTCCTGACTAATTTTGATGTTTAAGAAAACTCGGGATCTAAGGAGCACAGATATGATGGATGCCCAGGATAGGAAAGCCCACAGATGCTGAAAACCCTGAAATCCTGGTGGGACTTCAGCATGGCCAGAGGAGAGTGGTCTGCCTGGGGGCTGGACCGCGAGTCTGGATAGACCCAAGACAGCTATTCTCTTCTTCCCAGAGACAAGTTTTGAATTCCCAGCACACAGTAGGTGCTTAAACAGTGCCAACCAGAGGAAGGAGTGACTGCATCTTCTAAGTTCATCCTTGTCAGTAGTAACAGCATGGTCATGGCTTCAAAGTTGCAAACATGGAAATTACTGAAAATCCCTTTTTTCATCCCCACAAACTAAGTCACAGGCATGTTTATACCCCCAGAAATCTTCTCAAGTCCCCACAGCCCCTTCCTCCCTGTTAACACACACTTGTACAACTGGACACCACCTGGACAGCCCTCACATTCTACAGCGGTCCTGCTTGATCCGGCCTCTGCCAACTCCACCAGCCTTGCTTTGTGCCTCGCCATTTGATGTGCTGTTCTCCCTAAGACTATTCTCCGTGTTTCATCACTGTCTTCCCACTTAGGACTTGCTATGAAGCTACCACTGATGAATATCTGCGGGATGGGTGCGTAGGTGAGGGGTGGGAGATAAAGAGATGGATCAGGGAACAGAGAAATTGTTGGATGATGGGTGATGGGTAAACAGAAGATGTATAGACAGGTGGATGGACAGAGGGATAAGGTGATGGGTGGACAGAAGGATGATGGATGATTGAGTAGATGGGTGTAAAGATGACAGAGGGGTAAATGGCTGGATAAGTGGGGTGATGGGTGAATGGATGGGGCTTATGGCTGGCTGGATAAGTGAATGAATAATAGGTGGCTAGGTAAATACATGAATAGACATGATATGGATGGATGCATAGATGAAGGGATGGATATAGGTGAATGCATGCACACATGGACATATGGATGAAGGAACAGTGGACAGCCATGTTTGATGAGAAGACAGAAGCTACTCTTGTGGCCAAAGTTCATGACCAAGTTATGAGCTCCAAACTGTGAGGTTTGCCATGGGAGCTGTGACTTGAAATCATCAATAGTTCTAACTTCTGTGCACTGTGAGCTTTGGGGAGATGTGGGAGCCCTGGCAGAGCCCAGCCCGAGCTGCAGCGCATACCATAGCTCCCCTCCCCAGAAACTGATTTGCCCATTTGTACTTGTGTCTCTTCTTTAATCTTTCAGTGGGACTTCAATATTTCTGCAGCATCTGAGATCTCCTCTGTTGAGGTGGTTGTCTAAGGCAGGGAGTGAGTTTTCCCCTGATTGCTCCCATCCCATCAATCAGTTCTGTGGAAACACAGCCTGCCTCCCTGGATCTGCAGGCAAAGAGCCATCACCTGGGCTGTGTGACGCTTTTTGTTCTTCGTGCATCTTTGATTTATTAAACATTTTTTAGTAAAATTCTGCATACGGTTAGCATGTGGAGAGCCCCCTCCTTCCCATAAAATAGAAAACCTGAAAGAGGGAGGGGTCTAGAGATTTGGGTGTCTAGACTTCCCAGATTTCTGAATGTAACACACCAATGTTTTCAATGCCTCTTCACTTTGAAGAGAGACCTCTGGGTCCCTCTCTAAAATGAATTTCTAGACGTCTCCTGGCATTGCTGTCTTCCTAAGTACATTTGTATGCTGGTTTTGTGCTGTGCTAGCAACAGCCTGTGCTGGCACCAGACAGACCAATAGAACAGCCATCAGTGTGCTGTGTTATGTTGGATAGGTTGTTTAATCTCCCTGAGTTAAACAAGTTTTTTGCCTAAATGTGCAAGATGAAATTCGTGAAACTGCCTGAAACACAACAGATATTTAATGTTTATTAATTTGCCTGCCTGTCTTTTCTTACTTTAAATTGGCCCTTTCCTTTGTGGGGCTGGGGATTGGACCTGAGACCTCACCTACTCTAGACCTGCCACTGAGTTGTGTCCCCAGTACTCTTCTTAAGTGTCTCACTAAGTTTCTCAGGCTGACCTTGAACTCACTTTGTAGATTTGGCTTTGAACTCACGATCCTTCTGCCTCAACTTCTCAAGTCCTGAGATTTGACGTGCACCATGTTTGTGTTATCTCTAATCCCTCATGGAAACGATACACACTGTTCTCAAAGTGAACAACTTTATAAAAACGAATCAGGCAAGGATGAGACAGTAACAGATACTCAGACAGGTGCCACCCAACTGTGTAACACCTGTCACTGTATGTACATTCTTCTACCCCGTTAAGAAGCCACTGTGCAGTGGGTACCGTTGCATTCTAAGGCAACCAGAGACCATCTCTGTGGGAAAAGCTAACAAACAGAGTCATGAAAGTGGGACTTGCCAAAGTGCCTGGCAGCTAGAGGAGGAAGGAATGTGGGATGAATGGCGGGGACACATGGTTATCATCCATGATGACAGGACACAAATCCTCACCCCCAGTCTGCATTCCAATCACGGAACTCTACGTAAATAACACCAATTGTTTTCTAGGCAATTATCCTCACTGCCGTGTGTGTGTGTGTGTGTGTGTGTGTGTGTGTGTGTGTGTGTGTGTGTGGTACAGGCTTTGAATGGAGATGAGAAACCTCACTCACAGCCCTTGTTTTAAGTTTCAGCTTCCTTCTGTGACCTGGGGGGTTACTAGGATGCTCCTTAGAATTGCAACTGCATGGGTTAGAATGGTTGGATTTCAAAGTGCTTGGGCTTAACTGAGAGTATGAAAGTGGCTTCCCTCCAGTGTCTACAGCAGCATCTTCCAGTCTTACCATCTCGGGTTCATTACCAAGCAAGTCAGGGAATCAAGTGGGATCCAATGTTACTGTCTTAGGTCACACCAAGAACTCAGTCGGTTAGCATAAAGTTGTTCAAAAGACACTACAAACAAGTCAGCAATACTGAAATAGACAAACAAGAAGAGTGATGAACAGACACCTTTGCCCCAGTCTGTGTGAAATGAAGGGTGTGGGAAGAAGGCTGGCTGCCATTGGCTTCAGTGTGGAAATTCAGGTCTGCACAACCCTTGGGCAGCTCACCACTGGCTGAGCTGTGTTTGTGAGGTCACCATTTCCCTATGTGGACTGTGAGAATGCCTGGAGACTCAGCCTGAGGAGTGATGGGAACCCTCTCTTGGGTGGCTTACTGTCTCTGTGCATGCTGCAGAATGCTTTGTGGGTAAGCATCTCACCATGTAGCAAGAACAAGTGGCAGAGCTAGGTAAGCCGCTCACCATGTAGTAAGAAGGAGTGGCAGAGGTAGGTAAGCCAGTCGCCATGTAGTAAGAAGGAGTGGCAGAGAGTAGCTCCCACAACCTTTTGTCAAGAGAGTCCCCTATGGTTTCTAGAAGAGCCTAGCAGTTCCCGAATCTTGGTTGGCTCATGTCGGTCTAGAGCCTCTAAAGCAGCGATTCTCAACCTTCCTAATTCTTCAGCCCTTTAATACAGTTCCTCATGCTGTGGGCCCCAACCATAAAATTATTTTTTATTGCTACTTCATAACTGTAATGTTGCTACTGTTATGAATCACAGTGTAAATATCCGATATGCAGGATATCTAATATGTGACCCCTGTGAAAGGGTCATACTACCCCAAAGGGCTTGAGACCCACAGGTTAAGAACCACTGCCC